GTGTGTGTGTGTGTGAGTGCAGGTATGTATGTATGATATTATGTGAATGTATATGCAACATTTATTGGTGATTATGGGGGTTAAGGTGGAAGTAAGTTTAGCCCAATATATATTTAATGTCATGTTACTACCCAAGAATTCTATGCTCACTCTGTCCCATTGTCCAAGGGTTTTCTGACATGTATATCACGCATGTTTTCTTTAGGATTGCAGGTCTTGTGGTGGTTTGCCCCTACCTCCTGTTAATTGGGATCATGGATTCCATGGATGCAAAAAAAAAACAGCAGCTGGCATTTTCCAACAATGCGGTTGGATGAAAACCATTGAAAATCAAAACGCTTAATCATTACAATACGCACCCTGCTGTTGGCAGCAAATCAATCATGTTGCAAAGCTATTTGACATAATTTGACCCGTCGTGAGCCAACACGCTGGGGAAATCAAGATTTGGATATGTGGGTCCAAAAAAAAGTGACCGTGGGAAACCGTGATATTTGTTGTGAACGCACCACATTTTGACGTGAACTCACCGTGAAAACCGTGAAAACCGTGAAAACCAAAATTGATATCTTTGTGACCATGTCTGCAATGGGTTCACAAGCAAGTGACCGTGAAAAACCGTGATTTTGACGTGAACGCACCACATTTTGACGTGAACGCACCGTGAAAACCGTGAAAACCCAGATTGATATGTTTGTGACCATTTCTGCACTATCATGATTGGAATCGGATTCACTTCAAGTGCATTTAATTATAGCCAGATTTTGGTTTACAAAGCGGTGATTCTTGATTTTCGGCGGTGCCATGGCCCTACCAAACCTGCCTTTCCCAGTTGCTGAATTCGGCTGGGATAAGTTGGATCATTCATCAAGTTCTTGACCGGGATGAATGCATCACGGTAATGAAACTTGTGTGTGTGGTGACCCTCCTCCTGGATTCGACACTAGATCATGGTAACAAACAGCACCAAACAAGGTTGAAAACCATGGTTTTTAGCAAAAGACAATTTGAAAGACACCCTGGGATATATATGAATGTCATTTTTTGGATTGGAACTATAAGTTTTATAGTTTTTCCTTTGGGGCCTTATTTGATATCCCTGCCGATGGATTTTGGTGACCTTATTGATTTGATATCCCTGCCGATGGATACTTATGAAGTCTGTGCATATATATACATAAATATGTACTGTATATATATATATATTTTAAAAAAAAATCAAACGGGCAGCTTATAAGCTAGCTGTGTGAATTTGCATACAAATTGGGGCGGAAGTTTCCAGAAGGAATGTAACTAGGAAGTTGCTGTATGAAGAGCAACCTCTGCGAAGAATGTTTGATTGATTGGCTGACAGGTTTGGCGCACCAAGCCTCTGTATCAATTGTAACTTTGAGCTCCTGCTGACAAAAACCATCATGCAATGTGTGTTTTTTTGCCAGTATTGAGCGTGAAAATGCGTGAAAAAAATCAAGCTGGTACCTAACTGGTACGAATGACCATATGTACGGTTTTTCTGGTACAAATGCATGTCTAGGAATGGCTCTATGTGTAAAGACCTGTCTGTGTAAAAGCTTGGGCATTTGCGTGTTTAAAGTTTCTGTGCGTATAAGATTGTATAAGCTCCTCTGTGCAAAGGCCTCTCTCTGTGTAAAAGCTTCGGTGTGTAAAAGCTGCTCTGTGTAAACCCTGCTCTGTGAACAAGCTTCTATGGGTAAAAGCATCTGTGTGTAAAAGCTCTGTGTGTAAAGGCGTGTGTGTAAAGCTTGTGTGCATGTGTGTGTGTGTGTAACATCTGAACAGATGTAAAACTTCTTTGATTCAAATCTGTTCACATTTGCAGGGAATCTTTTCACATTTGCAGGGGGACTGGAGCCGATTTGCCTATCCAGTCCAACGAAGCTATGGCATTTCGGTGGATGAGTGGTCTGATCAACCACTTGTACCTGCAAAACTCAGTTTGAACTGTTGACCAAGCTGTCACACTGTGTTGTTTCGAATCTACACGGTTGCCACAATCTATATTGCATGCATCAGAACCTTCCTCAGATTTTCGCCGAAACCATATCGCCGACAGTATTATGATTTTTTGACATATTTTCGCCGAGATCATGTCGCCGACGAACTCTGGGTTTTTGGGAAACAATCGCCGAAACATTATTTTGGATTTTGGATTTTCAACATACTGGTCAAAACACCTTGGACTCTGGTTTTAACTACGTTGGACAATATTGGATACCCTACATCGTTTTCGAGAAGTACCTCATGTGGCTCCTTCATTAATCTAACGATCTAGGCTGGTTTGCATGTTTCAGGATTCAGTTCCTGCCGGATCATATAATGATCCATTCTTGTCTAGTGTGATTTCCATGGTGGCTCCGACATGGTGCCATGGAGCCATTTGAGGCAACCCTTTTCAGGGTGAGTGTTGACAGTCTTGAATTCTGAATTCACACATTTTAATTTGGTAATTCATCTAAGTAAGTCGCAACAGCTGGCCTTACCGTTTTGCACTTTTGACGAAGTCCTGCGGCTCCTGTGGTCCCAGGGATTCCTCGCCATACTGCCTGTCTACCATAGCGAAGACGTTCGGAACATTCAGAAACCTCCGTTTTTGTAGCAACTTTTGCAGCGTCATATTGCATTATTTCACGACTTATGACCAGGCAGGCACACGACTTTCAGGTGTGGTATTCCTTCCTTTTGGTTTTCTGGTGAGGTGAAACATATTGTGCATCTAATTCGTTGGAATTTGAAAGCCGTTTGATGCCATTGGGGCACGACTTGACTGCGGGCCTGTTGTGGCACAATTGCACGAATAGTAGGTCTAGGAACTGAATCCTGTTGTTACAATTCCATTATTTGTCATTATTCCTCGTGAGCGATGTATCCGTGGACCAACCCTCCGACGTCATGGCCTGCTCCACCGCAGCCTGCGAACCCATCTTCGACGTGGCAGCAATCGTCGCAAAATGCACATCTATTTGGACATCCTTCGGCATTGCATCCTACATGGTCTTCTTCAGCTTCGCTCATGCCGTCCACATCGGCCCCAACCTCGTTGCCGTTCACCCCATTGACTCCGGCTCCTCATGCAGTACCAGGCCCACAGTTCGTTCCCACTATGCCCTCACCTTTGGCCCCTGAAACCACCATGATGCACACCGCTCCGTCGACCTTTCCATCGTCTACGGCACCCACCGCTCCACCCACGTGGCCTACTCCATCCCCTACATCGACTACACCACCTACATCGACTACGCCACCGACACCTTTGCCCAGTTCTCCATACCCACCTCACCATATTCAACCACCATTACAGACGGACGCATCGATGGTCCCTCCAGATGAACCTTCAATACGGGCCCCGGCAGTTAAAGCGGCTCCCAGGCTTCGCTCTGACAAGCGACCGGATCTACCACGTCGACCAGCTCCAAAAGTCCCTCCTCCTTCTACACCACCAACACCCACGGCAGCACCGACTTCATCCGTGTCACCTGAACTGGTAGCATTGGGCTCCACTGCACAGCAACTTGCGGAATCGGTTCGATTTATTCAAGCTCAACAACAAATGATCATGGATTCCCAACGAGCCCAAGAACAACGTCAGCTACCTAGACCTCCCAAAGTTGTCCATTTCACATGGTTGAAAGGCAAAGTTGTTATAAGTCCATGCATTAGTGCCTCACGACAACTTCAGCTCTCACGACAATGTCAAAGTTGTTGTATGTCCATGAAAGACATCATATAAGGTGCATGCTTGCGCATGCTGCTGTCTTAGCATATGTGCAAAGCATTTGGTGGTGTCTGTGCTCTTTTTTTAGCTGCTTTCCTTGCCAAATTCATGGTGCATGCGGCATGGCCCCCTGCAAAGTCAGGGGGCCACCAACGACTCCAGCGCACCACAGGCGTGCCTATATATAGGTCTTTTTTTTTTCCTGCCTCGCTCTGTCAAAGGGTGCCCCCCCATAAGGGGGGGCACCCATGCATGGCCCCTACTACTGGAAGGACTACGAGGGGCTGCGTCTTGAAGGGGTCGCTCCTTTGGAGCGGCCCTTGCATTCCCTCCCTCCCTTTTGTCTTTCTTTTTTTCAGTTTGGGGCATGGTGGGATGGGAAGTGCATTCGGGTTGGTGGATCTCAGTACAGCTCCTGCTCGGAGCAAGTGCATTCAGGTTCGTGGTCTCTCTTTTGAACCAAGAATAAATAAATAAATAAATATAGATGTGTATATTTATATGTTTAGTAGAGATATGTATGGATACATATCATCCCTCTGACATTTTTGTTTTTCATGTTCATCCGAGGGTGTTTTGTTTTATGTTTTGTTTAAGATGACATGGCGTTAATCAACTGGAACCTTGGGCGGCTCTCGCCGTGCAGTCAGGCTCCATGCATGGCCATGGGTGCAGCATGGGTTTCAGACAGCTGCATCGGCATTGACAAAAGGACAGCCCTTCTTTTCATTTTTACAAGTCAGTCTAAGTGGATGTGATATATGGCAGCAGGCATTTTGACCCCCATGTCGCTGTCTCCATATGGCAGATGTTGCCAGCGCTTTGCTGTCACGAAGGTGCGCCCAACCCTTTGCTTGGGCAAACAGTTGCAGTATACTGCTGGGGAGGGCTGGGAGGGCCAAGCAATCCATGGAAGGGAGAGCTTGTTTTTGGACAGTGTTTGACTGCAGGTGTTTTCACAATCACCCTTCTTGGCGGCAGAAGGCATTGAAACGACTTCCAGCAGTTTCACTTCCAGCATTGTTTGAGCAGTTTATTTGGCAATTCCTTTTTCATTCAAACAAACACACACATATCATAAATATATATATATACAATATATATATATATATATATACAATATATATATCTATATACTATATATATATAGAATATATATATAAATACAATATATATATATATTGTGTGTAAAAGTTTATGTTTTTCTATCTTCTAACATGTATCTATAGTTCATCCACCAACGCTGCCTTCGTTTGGTGCTTCAGCCATGGCGGGACCAGAGGTTTTGAAAGCAAAACGTGGGAAGGGTGCCGAGAAAAAGAAGAGGGTTTATGGGACCTTCAAGAAGAAGCACTTGTGTTCCAAAAAGAGAAGCAACAGACGTGTTGAGAGCAAGGTGCCCTTCAATCCTTCATCTGGGTTGCACCCTTCGCTACTTTTGGTGTAGTTTGGCTTATTTAGCAAAAGGTTGTGTTGCATGTAAACGGGATATAACACCCTATTAGATTTATCAATATTGTGGTGGACAAAAAACAGGGATTCAACATCTCGCCATATCCATGTTCCATTTCAAACCTTTCAAATGGTTCGGTTTGACTGCTTTCCCGACGTTTTATTGAATTATTTCATCTATTTTGGATTGAACAAACATATACAAACATATTCGCACAGGAACCCTGACTAACTCTTTGACAAAATGTTTGACTCTTCATGGTTATAAGATGTTATAAGGGTTTGTACCCAGTGCTTCCCCACATCTAAAACAAAAGGGGTATATGCAAACCAACCGTGACCACATTGATCCCAGGCTCAATCTTCTCATGCTTGGCGGCGCTCCGTGCTCCATTTTGAGCTTGGTCCAGAATGTCATGTCTCACATGACCCGGCCAGAGATGGCATCTTGGATTGAACCTTCTAAGTTTGAGGTGAAAAGATGGATAGAATGTATTGGTTTTGAGTTTTGATGGTGTTGAATGGGAACCATGGGAATCAAAACCAGGTTACAATCTCAAACCGGTTAATTGTGATTCTTATTCTTGTTTTCAACATCTTCTGTGAGTTACCCTGGGCACAAAAGTGAATGCATCCCTGGCCGAGCCCAGGCATTGATGTGCGTCGAAAAGTACGCTGGTGTCAAGACCATTGCAAGTGCATTTCGGAATCTCAGTGGCTTTTCAGTGTAACATCAAACAGTCCACATGAGTTAGACACGGAATGGTCAATGAAGGGAAAAACCTTGTGACCTTTGCATCAAAACGTGTCCATGTTAGTCCATGAATTGCAAAGTATTTCATAGTGATTTGAACTGAGGAAGTATGGATTCGCAGCTGCCAGCTTTGAGTACAACGACGACATGGTCTACCAGAACATCTTAAGTGGAGTTGGATTTGCATATGGCCTTGCTCTAACCATCCGGCTTTTCCGGAGCGCTGCTTGCCGGCACTCTTAGTTGGAAACCACATTGTTTGTACACATGGTATTGTTTTCACAGCAAACAAGAATCAAAAAGCTGTTAAACCGATATACTGAACTAAGTCAGTCTACATGAGGTGGCAGTGCATCTTAAATGGTTTAGATGTGTTTTACATTCTGTTGGGTTCCAATCAACTAAGTTTGGATTCAATTTCGAAGCTCCGGTGTGCAGTACATGGATATGGCTCAACAGGCTGGGCTGAGTTCAAAGCAACAGCATCTATCCCAGTGTGGTGATTCAAAATGAGGAACACATCCAATCACGTTTGGTCCCATTTGCCTGTGTTTTAGCCATGTTTATCCGGAAAGATTCCACCGCTGGACGCAGGTCTACATCAGGCCGCTCGGCTCATTCTCCGATGGGATTTCCATGGGTGAAGCAGGTATCTTTAGCGATGCTTGGCTGAACCAGCAAAACATATCAAACGAAAGAAGTCAAGTCCGGTTTCAACTTTATTTAGACTTGCAAAGATCAACATATCAATGTCTTGCCAACAGATTGTTTGCAGTGTGATCATATCAAGTCCTCGGGTGCTGCACTGCACGGGGATTCAACTGGGTGCCATGGGTGCTCCGGTGTGTGCTGAAGAGATTCAGTCCCTACTTGCTGATGAAGAACATTGCGTTCTGGAATTGCAAAATCTTGGAGAGAACCTTTACGAGGCAATGCCACGTGACCTAAAGGACTGCATTAAGGGGTTCAATGTGTTGTTTTTTCGCCATCCAAACCTTTGCAACAGTGTTGACTATCCATCAGCCAAAAACTTGGTCTATCTTTCTTTCCATGATCGTCCAGTGAATATATAATAATATATAAGGCCAAGATCTATTTGTGTAACACCTAGAGGCACCCATATTTACCACATATTCCCAATTAAGCTTTTGCAGAAACAATCTTGGTGTCAGGAGGCTCTTGAAGTGCCTTTGGGAGAGCTTCAGACCAAGCGCCTGATGCGAACGGACCGGCTCACGATTGCTCAGGAAGATGATCTGAATCTTGTCTACCTGCATCAATCGGTTGAAACATGTTGAAACTGTTCACATGCAATTACACTCTCTCGCCATTGGCGGTATGGTATGTCATGGTGTGTCACTCCTATCTCAGGAAGAACAATGGTTGGGTCTTGAAGCAGCTTCTCGAATATGAGCCCTTCAAATACAGAGCCCCTGGGAAGCAGGAATGCTACCTGATTTTGGAAAGCTTGAACGCAAAATCGAAGGCCGGAACATGAGCCATATCCAAAAACAATTTCCTTAGCCACTGAATTATTTCAGTTGTATCTGGTGCACCAGTGCGATTGTGGTCCATGCGACTATTATCTCAAAAAACTTTATTGTGCCTGGTTGCTTTGCCTTGTCAGAACCTTTGCATTCGCCCTTCGGAGCTGACAGCCACTAGGATGCAATATGTTGCAACTATGTCAAAGGGTATACAACGCCATGCCACAAGAGCAATCCCATGAAAAGCAATCCACATTAATCAACTCGCTTTCATGTCTGTATTCAATATGAATGTGAAAATGTCCCAAGGACCTGGACACCGAAATTGCTGCACTTGCCTTCACTATGAGGAAATTGTGGTCGGGGCTACGTGCTTTGTGGAGAAACAGCCCCAACACCAGCTCTTCCGATGTCGTCCAAGCCTTGAAGAATGACATGAAAAGGAAGCCCGGCTCTGGCCCACGCCAGACTGAGGACACCAGTGTCCTGCAAACGGTGCAAACTGTTTGGGGTTTCATAGAAGGGGATAAAACTGGGTGATCAAGAGGGAGTACCAAAGAATACCAAAGCCACCAACAAAAGTAAGGGCCATCATCATACAATTTCATTACTTTTCACTTTTCACCATGCTGTTTCCCTGGAAAGGAGACCCAGAAAGAGGATTCCCAGGAAGACTCCCAGGCTGATTCGACCAAACCTTTTGCAAACACCAGCCAACGAAGTTTGCTACTGGACCATGAGACTGAATCTTCTGGGGTTCAAAGTCCAGTGTCACCTACGTCTTTGCCAAAGCCATCCCCTCCTAGCCCTGAAGAGATGAAAACTCCACCGAGAAAGGCAGACAATATCTATGCTCGGATGTATGGAAATGTATCTGGTGGCTCAAGTCTTACAGATGACACCTTGCCATTGGGTTCACCTTGGGCTACCCCTGGGATTCGAAGGGCAGACCCCAACATGGAAAGAGACCTCATGGAGAGACTTGGGCAACCCACGACACTTATGGGGGTGGCTGAAGAACCGGACGAAGAACCTGCTGTGTCCCCTGTCCAACCGGACCTTCTTACATTGAAGTATGAAAATTGGGAATGCGAAGAGGAATGCTCTGAGTCGTCCAGCCCCGATGATGATCCAGTGCTTGTCCCTTAACTGGATAAGTGCAGCCAAAATAAAGCATGATGTAACCACACGCACATGACATATAAAAAACCTGTTGGAGATGGCCGAACTCAACCTCACATATTCTTTAAAAATCCTTGTGTACCTTGAGGCTGAAAACCTCTTGGCTGACAACATCGAAGAGGAGTCTGACTTTGAAGATCATCGTGACTTACATGGCCAGTTGGAGCCCAGTGTGCCACCTGGCTACCCCGAAGCAGCTGTTGCCGTGGAAGACAGTCCTCCACCGGCCGTGCCACCAGTTGCAGATGGAGGCAAGCACCTCCATGGCAAGCGGAGCATTCATGGTTCATGGTTGAATCACACGTGACAGAAACAACATGCAGGGTCTCCACACACAAAATTCTGGATGCCATCATGTTTTGGTTAGACTCCTTTAGAATCACAATCACTCCAAATATCTTTCGGAAAATCGTCTGTCTAGGTGATCGAAAGAAGAAGAAGCGTAAATCTGAAGGGTCGGGCAAGAGCAATGGAAAAAAGAAGGCAAAGCCAGGACCCTGCTATGCATTGTTGACAAGTTCACTATAATCATTTGCTGCACATTGATGGTAATGCTGGTTGCACATATCTTCACAAAAGATCATGTCCCCAAACGCGGCACAGGATCCAAAGAAGCTGAGCCGGTTCCAGATATCCCTACAATCATGGAGACCTTTGAAGAGGAGTATCGGGAGTCTCTTCAAGCCCTTCCGGCTGAGTTGTTTCCCCAGGGCATCAAGCATGGGAAGCACTCCTATACCCTGCAACCCGGCTGCAATCTCGCCTTGTGAAGGTCGAAGTTGATGCACATGCAGCATGTTGTCCCAGCTTCCCCAGAATTGCAACCCAGGTCTCATGAATGAGACCTGGGCTGCAATTCTGGGGAAGCTTCCTCCTGCAAACCGAGGCATTTGGATGGTGGGGCCCGCATGGAAGTCTTGCTTCGCCACAAGGCATTCAAACCCAAGGCCATGAAGGGTGGAGCTGCTATCAACTCAAAAGCGTGTCTTGACCAAAGGTTTAAGATGAAAACCCACTTGCATTGAATCCCATTCAAACCATATCAAACATTACCAAACCTATTTGTGAAGCTGTTTTAACATCTAAGGATCGCATGGAAAGATGATATGAAGGCAGCCTGGGAGGAAGCTGCACGTGCTATGGGCTTGTCACTGTGAGTGTAGGTATGTGATCCCGGGGAAAACGGTGTGGAAAAGGCACCTGAACATGCACCATGCTGGAGTGGGCAATGTTTCTGAACTAGCACCATAGACAGGAATCCCTACAAGAATCCCTACATCACATCTAATTATATTTGTTTTCAAGTTGGTACTCATACCTATCTACTGTATCAAATGTTTGTATGAAGGTATGTGATGGAAGCTCCTACCAGCAACAGTGCATTCATTTTGAAGCCATTCGGCAGTAGTATCTTCGCTTAGTTTCATGGAAAGCGGGACCTTGGAATTTCACCAAGGCATTCATCAAGCTGGATTTGGCTTGTGCGAGCTTGGGGGGAAAAAGAAACATGAACAGTTTCGTGAACATGAGTTACACACTTCCACATACATGATGCCACAATCACAACCAGCTTCGATCCAAGGAACTGCATGGTGGCACGAACAGTAATCTACCTTTACATCATGAGCATCCTCGGGCTATGTTGGTGCATAGAGCAGCCAAGTTCAAGCTTGCTGGAGAAGCACACAGCGTTCCAGTGGCTTTGCAAACAAACCAAAGTCTACCGTGTGCCTTGGCAAAATATTTCCCGATGAGAACCCAAACAACTTCCAATTTATCCATACTTGCAAGTTTGGTTGTGATCTACCCCATCCAAGTCTTCCCTTGAGTTCCAGCATGCACTGCATGTGCAATCAAGGTGTTTGTGTGGATTGGAAGCTATGGACATGATTGCATCTTGGCTGTTACAGCTCCTCTCTCTCTATATATAATATCTTAAAATATTCATATCATATGATATGAAGAATAATCATATACTATAATATGTACATATGTTCTGTGTGTATATGTATGCAAATATGCTACTTATAAACAAAAATATGTTTATGCATGGGCATGCCAGCAAAGCAAGCTCAGCCAACTCAGGTCCGAAGCCAACGTTTTTATATTCAAACTACCAATTCTTTCAAAAGCTTTACCTTCCACTTCCTGATCGTGAATGGACGAGCAGTATGGTTCGGAGGCAAGGAAAGGGCACATCTTGATCCTGTGCAAAAGCTTTCGCGAGTTCCCCCTAAATTTTAAATGGTATGATGGAAACATATCCATATGTTCTTTGTCCCTGAGAGGTATGTTGACGGCTCGGGAGTCCAGCGTATATGCGGCGATTGTGACCTGAAGGCATCTCAACACTATCCTGTTCGCTTTGGATGTGCGGTGGCTGAATGCTTTTTGGAGCACTATGAGCTGGTAAAGGAGACTGCAGAGAAGACCCAGTCCATATTACAAGCATCGCCCCCAAAGAAGGAAGCCAAGGACACCTGTTAAGCTCAAAATTGTTTTGGTTGAAACATGTTGGATTGAGGTTGGGTGGTCTATTAGAGTATGTTTTTATCGGTTTATCGGGGTTGGTTTATCGGTTTATCGAGTTTGGTTTATCGGTTTATCGGGTTTGGTTTATCGGTTTATCGGGTTATCGGTTTATCGGTTTATCGGGTATGGGTTTATCGGTTTATCGGTTTATCGGTTTATCGGTTTATCGGTTTATCGGTTTATCGGGTATGGGTATATCGGTTTATAGGTTATATCATGCAGGTATATATATATATGTTTTGTGCACATACTGCAGGACCCAGGATTTGCAAAGCTTGCAGACCTACGGCAAGTTGTGCAGGAACTTTCTCAGTGAAGCTCCAAAGGAGCCAGCATTTACAAAGCTTTTGGCTTGCATGCTGCATGCTTTTAGGCATTTTGGAGGGTTCTGGGAAGAATTTCTCGTTTTGGGCAAAAAAATCAGGAATTTTTACAAAAAAACAAAAATCACAAAAAATCACAAAAACCGATAAACCAATAAAAAACCAATAAAAAGCCGATAAAAAGCGATAAATTTATTGGTTTATTGGGCACCTTTTTTTTTCATGTTTTTGTTCAAAAAAAACAGTGTTTTTTGTAAAAAAAACAAGAGTTTCCAAGAAATTCCCCGAAAAAGCGAGAAAGGATGAGAAAGTCCCAGGATCAGACCCAAAATTCAGATTCAAAGCCATATACAACAGCATGTGAGTTGCTTGGCTGGCTATTAATTCTTAATTTACTCGGCGCTGCAACTGTGTACTTTGCGAGGGCAGGACCAAAAATGGGGTTGACAGGGCAGGTGCTGGCAACATCCAATCCACATTGTGACAAAAAAAGACATGGCTTGAGGTGACATGTGCCATATAGGAGCGTTTGGCCAAGAAATCACATACATCATACATCTATATGTATAATCTAGATCATCTGGCTCTGCAGAAAGGTCTGAGACATGCCTGTCTTGACCCGGTGCCGTGGCAAGACTCCTGAAGGTGAAGCCATGAAAGCTTCCCCAAATCCGAAGAAGCTGAAGCAGGCTGCTCGGAGGCTCAAGGAAGCAAAGAAAAAAGCAGAGACGCAAAAGAACACAGGAAAAGCCAAGAAGAAAGAAAAAGTGGACACAGGAAAAGCCAAGAAGGAAGAAAAAGTGGACACAGGAAAAGCCAAGAAGGAAGAAAAAGTGGAACCTACTTTGAAGACTCCAAGCCCGAAGCCCATTCTGAAGAAGGCTATGCGCTGGGGTTCATGCATGGCAGGCATTGTTTGGAACAGGTTGTTTATGTTGTCCATTCGGTTCAGTATACAGTATCCACATCAAAAACATTTTCAATACATCTAAAGTTGTCAATCCAATCAGCTGAATTGCATCTCAAAAGTTTTGTGTCTCCCCAACACATGTCTGCTGGCTCGCAGGATGATGCTAGCTCTACGACGAAGACCAAGAGAAGGACCAAGAGGAGGCTGAGTTTTGTAGAACCACATCAGTGCATCCCAATCGAAGCTGAAAACAAGCCAGGAGACAAAAAAAACAAAGAAAAGGCCACAGGTCAGGCCATGTCAGAGGATGAGGCTGAGAGAATCATCAAGGAGATGTCCAAGCCAAGTGCAGAAGCAGCTGGTCACAGTGACTCAGAATCGACATGTGATGACGCTAGCAGCAACAGCAGCAGCAGCAGTGAGGACAAAGATGGAAGTGGAGATGAGGATGAAGCAACAGAAAGCGAAGGTGAAGCTTCAGAAGAACAGTCTGAAGATAGCTCGGACTCAGAGGCAGAGCAAGTGCAGGAAGATGAAGGCAGTTCGGATGAAGAGACTGTAGATGGGAGCGACACTGAAGAAGAAGAAGAAGCTGAGGATGCAAAGAAAGGTGCCATGGCGAAGAAAGCGCAGTCTGAGGCTGAGGAGAGCGACAGCGACAGCTCCGATGAGAGTTGTGGAGAGCCTGAGGTGACAAAGAAGATTGCAGCCACCAAGACACCCGAGGTGAACAAGCAGGATGAGCCGAAGAAGAATTACAAGAAGAAGGCAGGACAGGAAGAGAAGAACACAAAGAAAAGCAGCAAGAAAGAAGATAAGAAAGAGAAGAAAGAAAAGGCTTCAGCTGCTAAGACTACGGAAGATGAGTCTAAACAAAAGACAAAGAAAAAGAAGGAAAGCAAGACCAAGCCCACAGAGGAGCCTTGTCTGAAGATCGAAGACCAGAAGGACCAGGAGAAGAAACGAGGCAGAGGCAAGGACGATGGCAAGTCAAAGGAGAAAGTGACTTCGAAGCGTTCCAAAGACAAGGGCGACCAAAATGAGACAGGAGGGCATGATGCATCAAAGCTGGCTGTGGTGGAAGCCAATTTGGCAAAGACTGCGGCACCGACTTCTGAAGAAGCGAAAGGCAGCAGCAGCAGCAGCACTGAGGACAAGATCAACTCCAGCACGCACCACACGGAGTATCTGCGATACAGGAGGTGGATTCGAAACGGCAAAAGGTTTCCTACTGTGCTTGGATCCCGGTTGACAACGGAGGAGGGGCGGGCAAGCCTTTTTGTCGACTGGGTCAAGTGCGGAGGCGATGTGGACTCCATCATATGCAAGCACGAACAAAGCCTGACTGAGTCCAGATCTTCCCAGGTGAAGTATGGATTTCGCTCAGAAAGGTGGCTCAATGAGAAGTACGGGGAGGAGAAGGCAAAGCGTATAGTTGGTCGAAAGACCAACTTGGGGCTTTTGATCCCTGACCCAGAGGAGCCCGAGGACAACCTCTACTTCTGCCTCATCGACATCGACCTGAAAAACATCAACGAGCTCAAGAGGGTGACAAGCTTGGAGGCCAAAGGACAGGTAAGTGCCGAAATGGTGAAGGCATTCACCGAAGCCGGAGGAGTCTTAGATGGAAGCGCTCTGAAGGGTGACATGTCTGGGAAAGAAGGCATGAGCAAAGCAGTCTCGTTCATGGGGGCCGTGGGCAAGACCGGACAAGCACAGGGGACAGGGAAGGCTGCAAGAAGGAATGGGAAAGCCAACAAGGGGAACTCAGACAGTGCTCCGGCAAAGGAAGTCAAAGCAGAAACACCGCAGAGCAAAGCGAAGACTCTGATCACCAAAGTGCTGAAAGATGCAAACACCTGCAGGCTGGGTTTAAACATGTTTAAACTGTTTGCGGAGGGCAGTTGATAAAAAGCAAGTTGTGTTTAGTTCTCAAGTTACTGATGTGGACTTAAACGGAGCGTCCAAACTCTTTCCATACAGTTTCGGAATATTTGCTGGCAAACATTCACACATATCTACATTTGTGAAAAATGCAAACATGCATCATGCATACATTCCATAGGTATATGCTTTCAGATGCATATCACAAAAAAAAGGAAAGGGAAATACACACACACCTATCTCGTGAAAATACATGTATTGTTTGTCCATCTCCCACGTTTATGTTTGCTGAAGTTGTTGTGACCTGTTGCAGGGACCTGGCATTCCGCTTGAAGCCGCTGGAGATGTCCGATCAGTTGATCAACCAGCTGAAAGCGCTTCAAAGTGGATTGGAGAAGCAGGCACGAGCACTTCAAGATCTCATCAACCAGGACAAGAACAAAATGAAACATTACACGCCAGTCATGGAGGAGGCCATATGGCAGCACCACAGTTTTGAAATTTCACTGGGCAGCATTGCATGCTTATAATTGGGGGACCTGTGTGTTTTGTTCATGGGGTGTGTTGTACTGTATGTTCAACGGACTGTTTAAAACAAAACAACAAACAGTTTTCTGGCTATTCAACCCTGCAGATCGCAAATCTCAACCAGCTGGCCAAGAACAAGGTTGAGTTGGGCAAAGCTTTGTTGCGCGCTGCTGAAAAGGCAACCAAGGGTTCTGAGGAGAAGGCCAAGGAGCCAGAAACTGGCACTGGGTCTACGGACAAGAACAATAAGAAAAGGAAGAAAGCTTCCTGAGCTAGATTTCTATTTTGGGATCATGAACCGATGATCTCAGTGGGGCTTAGCCTATAGCCGTGATGCTCTGCAGGACTTAGAATTCTCATGTCTTTACAGTAAAAAAACACAAGAAACATGTAGCTGAAACTACAAAAGAAATTGTGCTGGGTGTCTTTCCGATCATGTCCATAGACAAGCATCTTAGACGGTCTTCTGGCTTACTTTGGGTCAAGCTTGTGTTGAAACCTTTGCGGGATTACCTGCAATGTGGCAAGCATGAATCTCTGGATCCACAAGGGTCTACATTATTCACATTTGAGCTTTTGCGACAGCAACCAAAGAGCATTCAGCGCGAGTCAGAAAAAAAAGGTGCGCAGTACTTCATCCAATGTCTCTTCAAATCATAGATCCATCATAGCATTCAATGAGCTCCCATTGATAGCTTCACGCAGTGGCACCCTAGTCCACAAGAATTATGTATACATGTATATGGACAATATATGTTGAGATACTATTCTTATGCTGGCATTCTATCTACCTGGAACTATAGTTCAAATCCCTTCGCAGGGCCACAAGTTTGCGCTCCAGAACCCGGTCTCCTCGAAATCGAGATCACCAACGTGGCCATGCTGATGCAGTGACCTCAAAGAGCCGGGTGAAATCTTTCAGAAACCAAGGAGATAGAGATCAAAAGGTGGGTAACCCCAATGTTTTCAAGTGGTTTTAGTTCCATGACAAAGTGCATATACTAGTATCCAGTATTCATTCTTATGGGATCTTATGAGGAAACCATGTCATAACAGGGGTGGTAAAATCGGGGCAAATGGGGATGACATTTCACAACCACCTAAATTTCAAAAACCTTGCGTCCCTGTTCGAGGATTGGATTTGGTTGCCAATGCATCTTATTCTGCCCGACGACTATTGAAAAAGATCTGCAACGGGGCCTGGTGGATGAAAAAGGGTTCCAGCTCATGACTCACGATGTTTGTTTTAAAACAGGGAACAACATAACTCCTTCCAATCTATTCATCCCTCAAACAATCAATCCATCCTGGTTTGACTTCATCGTTATAAGATGTTATAAGCTGTGTGTTCCCAAAACATTTGACTACAGCTTTGGAATCCATCTATCCTTCTGCAACCCTACTCTTACAAAAAGGGTCAGTAGATAACAATGGAATCCGGGACTCCCCAAACAAGGAGATTAACAAATATATGTATGAATATACAAGCTTCTCTACATATACAGAGTTGCATATTTAGTAGGATTACATCTTCATCGGTTTCGAATGCGAGCGCGGCTTTACAATTCAAACCCTGCAGAAGACATCGGCTGCTGAAGCTTGCAGAGATGCCAAAGGACTTCTCAGAGATCATTCTGACTGCGCTTTGGCTAGCCTACTCGCATCATGGTCTGCAACAGCAGGGCATGAAGAACGCAGTTTTCAGAGGCACGCGTGTCAACTTTTTGACTTTCAATCCAAAAAGAAAGATATTTGTTTTTGATGGTTTCACTTTTATTTTGAAACGGTTTTTGGTCTGACGTGTTTTGATTGGAAAGTGGTTGCATCAGTTTTGAATCAATGAGACCCTTGCAGGTGGTATGAGAAACATGCCAATATTCCCTTGGGTACTGTCTCGATACCACACCTTGTGGAATGTGAAAGCCCTGAAGGACACCATCTTGAGGTGGTGGACCGAGATATTCCAATTTTGTGGCCATGGGATGTGCTACACTGGCGAGACAGTATCAGCCATTTGGGCTGCTGGATAGCTGACCAACCTCATCTTGCTGGTGTCAAATGTATGGCATCTTGCTTTGACCAAGATCTATCTGTAAGTTTTGCAAACAGTTTTGTCCTCACGGACTGATTTTGTGTTCAGAAAAACATGTTTACAGTTTAATTGCGGTGATCACCCATGGTGGCTTAGGACTATTGGCGCCACATGGAGGGCCAGGAGTTCATCGAATCGCTGGATTTGAGTCAACCCGACAAAACAGTCCCATTGGTGTGGCATGTGGATGGAGTGAAGGTCTACAAGAACCAAAAGATATGGGTGTATAGTTACTCTTCCATGCTGCGAAAGAAGGGAAACTCATTTGAAAACAAAACTGTGCTTGCGATCATTCGGGACTCTGCTGTGTCCAAGCCACGCACGCATGATGCAATGGGCAAGGTCATTGCATGGATTTGCAAAACACTTCAAACTGGAATTTATCCTGTTACAGACTGGAAAGGGAATCCATGGCCAGCTGGTTCAACGGAGTCGCAAAATGCTGGGAGCTACTTCTCTGCAGATCGATGGCGTTGCTGTTTCTCAGCATTCAAAGGAGATCTAGAAGCAAGGGTGCAGATTCACAAAATGATTCGCAACTACATGGCCAACATGATTTGCGAGCATTGCCCTGCTGGAAAACTTCTTTCTTACGCTGACTTCAAGAAGGATGCACCATGGTCCACGGTGAGGTTTTCTCATCAAGACTTTTTGGATTTGAATCCCCCTGGTCGGCAATCTGCATGGGTGGACGTGCCTCGATGGCGAAAAGAACGCAATCTTGAGGACAGATTTCTTTTGGTATGCGCGTGGTTGGAGAAAGTTTTTTAAAGATATATACATGCATCTGTGTTTCAGTTTTGTGTTCAATGAAACCTGTCGGTTTCAACCTGAAGGATTTGCTACACACACTACATCAAGGTGTCAGTCTTTGTGCTATCGCTGCATTGGTTACTGACCACTACAACTGCAAGCATCCTGGTCAAACGCTGCAAGATTTGGAACGATGCCTGCTGCAAGCATACAAGCATTACCGTGCATGGTGCAAAACGAAAAAAAATTCTGGTAGCAGCCTGCGTTTTAATTTGAACCGCTTTGGAAGGGACGGGTGGAAAAGCATGCCAGAGCTGTCGACGCAATACAAAGCGAGCACAGTGAAATACATGCAGTATTGGCTGCATGACTTTCTCATGGATGAGCCGGAAGTGCCACATTCAGCAGACCGTCGCCATTGTTCCTATTCTTTGGCAATGTTTCAACACATGCTTGACACCCACAGTGAATGGTTCACTCAATGTCAGGCAGACCGTACTGCGCAATTTGGTTACAGCTTTCTGCTGTTCTACCAGAAGTTAGCAGTTCGATCCAGGTCAGAACCCAGGAACAACTACAAGATTGTCCCGAAATTCCACTACTTTTTTCACATGCAAGAGTACATTGAAGAAACCCTTCGGAATGTCAGGCATTGGGTCTCCGAAAATGTGTTCCTTACGCTTCGCGTGCTTAAAGGTGTTAAATTCCCAGATGTTCCCATATTTATTTTAAATTCTTTTGATTTTTTTTATCCCCAAGTTCAGGTATGAGCATTGTTATCCGGATGAGTCGCTGATGGGCCAGTTGGGAAAGATCGCATCCCGATGTCATGCCAACACGATGGAAAGAACGTGCCTTCACAGGTACCGGGTCATGCTCGACCTTTTCTTGGCTTCCGGGCTCAATGAAGATGACCCGGAATGACGCTGAATACTCACATGGAAAAAAATGTTGCGGCATGCGGCGTTTTGAAAACCCTCCAATTCATACTTTGCCATGCTCATGGCACCATGGTTGAGGGAGAGAGGGGTAGATACACATAAATAGATATATTTACATGTACGTGTGCATATCGGTGGTTATAACATATATATACACATATTTATATTTATATATATATACAGATCACTCTATTTTCAGCAGCTTGAGTTGGAATGCGTCTTTGCATGTTCCAAATCACCCCAAACCATTGTTCAGAATTTCCGTGGGTGAATTTGGGGACCCAAGAAAATGAACTGAAATTCCTGTGGCCTGCAGGGTTTGGGATAGAAATTATGTTTCGTTAATCTATCTTTCGGGTATTTTGGGGGCATGGTCAAGATTAACCATTTATTTGGTTGCTTTTTGGAATCCCATCTTTGCGGTTCACCTATTTGGGCAAACATTTTTTTTCCAATTTCCAGTGGGCACCCTTGAAGTACACTGTTTGCGTCCATGCCGGTCCTGTCTAAGTAGACCACTACCACTTTACTCTAAATGTTTCATACACACACATGTATATATAAATAAATAAATAAAATAAATATCTATAAATATATATGTATATCAATCCCGTAAATCTACCTACTAGAAGCAAACAAACATATTTACCTACGTATATCGAACATAAGAGTATGTTTTTTTTTGGGCAGGGTTGGCTGAAACAAGTGCAGTTGCAATGTTTCAGTGTGTCAAAACCTGTACACAACTTGATGCATGCATTACAACATGCATTTTTCCACGGCCAAGGCGTCTAGAAAGAAAGAGCATGCATTACAACATGTATTTTTCCACGGCCAAGGCGTCTAGAAAGCAAGAGCATGCATTACAACATGTATTTTTCCACGGCCAAAGCGTCTAGAAAGCAAGAGCATGCATTACAACATGCATCACTCACGGCAAAAGCGTTTAGCAAGCAAGAGCATGCATCACAACATGCATCTCTCATGGCCAAAGCGTCTAAGCAACAGGTGCTGGCATTGCAGCATGCATCTCTTTCATATCCAAAGCTGTACATAAGAGGAACATTCATGGAGCATCAAATATGACCAAATATGTTTGCTCACGACAAAACCCAAAGTTGCCAAATTGACAACTTTGATAATCTTAGTTGTCAAAGGTGTGCAAAGGACACCTTTGGGAGCTCTAGGTACTTCTCCAACAAGATGGACCTCCACCGAACCCTATTCCACAGACACCACCACCAACAACTACACCACCACTGATCGCCACTCCTCCACCTGCACCGAAAGCCAGACCCACCGAACCTGATCTTCCGGACCCTCGTATTGTCCAAGCTCCAACCATCGATCCTCCCCACCAACTACATGTTCCACCACCAACAACACGCCGACCACGATCCAGGACTCCAAGATCACGTTCCCATCGACCTTCTGTACGTTCCCATCACCCTCGCTACTCTCCCCACCGTGCAGCTCGACCTCGTTCTCCTCTTCCTCGTCATCGGTCATCCACGAAACATGCCAAGGACCGCAGAACCCCATCTCCATACAGAAGACGATCACCACCAAGACACCGCTCTCCCGTGGTTCCTCGACGTCACCGATCTCACCCGCGACCACGTTCCGAGACACCACGTCACCAATCCAGAGGCCGTGAAGTCATACTTCGACCAGCTGCAAACCCATCCAATCCGAACTACATCCCCATTCCCGACGCTGATGACACCTGGGGTACATGGAAAGACAGCCACTACACCGACAACTACCATCACCACACTGATCGACCCAATTCTCCTGCCGACCCACCACAACCGGAACCACCAACCAACCCACCAGCCCATACTTCAGCACCACTTGGCGCTGTGTCCTACCGCGTCCCTGACGGTGACAGTGAAAATTCTGAGGTTGCAGATACAATTTCGATCACCAAGTTCGACACGAATGACATCGACCTCAGTGACCCCCTTAGGGTCCGCTGCCTGACGGAGCTTGGGCCCGATCATGTTGTGCCCCTACGCCAATCATTGACCCCGGCTATCTTGCTGCTCTTCAACCAATTCGTTGACGAGATGTTCCACCAGTTGGCTCAACCATACCGAACCGTCAACAACCAACGTATTTATATCAAAGCAAGCCAAGCCACCGTCAAAAACATTGCCAGGGCCTTTGCACAATCCAACTTACTGGACATCGAGCTTGCGAGGCAAACACAAGCCTTCTACATCGAGCCAGAGAACCTGCTGACCATCACGGTGCCCACAGGATTGAAAAAGAAACCAATCTATCGTGGCGAACACATGGGCACCTACCTGATCTATCACAAAACGAGTTGGGAAACAGTTGCCAAAATTCTCGCGGAAGACTGCATTCGCCCGGCAACTTGGACAAAAAACGAAGCCGGCATGCCGACTCAATACCCATGTTACGGATTCTTCGGTATGTCCTCTGAGATCGCGGACATCGACAACCTACCCGGCTATGCTGTCAAGATCTGTACCTCTCAGCTCTACAAAATTGGCAAAGGACAAAACCCATCAGGCCTGCTGGCCATTTGCCGCTCACCCAAATGCATCCGTGCCCTAGCTGGAGGAAATGACCAAATTCAACGCTTGTGCAACCTTGCGGGCATAGCCAAGGGCAAAGACAATGCAACGGCTATGAACTCCAGCGCCGCATCCATACGCTACGTCGCCTCCACTCACTCGGTTTTCCCGGGCTTGATCACACACCAGACGGCGGAGACCAATGCACCCACGGAACATCCTGATGATCATGCACGTCCAGTACGACCTGACCCTCCTGCCAATGCCCCAGAACTTTTGGAACCACCTCCAGACGACTCTCGAGATACACCTGGCCACCACGAGACAGCTGCTTCTGGTTCTCGAGATCATGCTCGCCGATCTTGGCACGACACTGCCCCTTGGGACAATTCAACCTACAGCCGCCGAGATCGCCGCTCCTCCTATCATGAAGGCCACTCTCGAGACCAGCACCGTGAAGGCCGACCCCGTTCTCGACACTCGACGTATCACTCCAAATCTCGTTGGTGAACTCTTTACCTCTGAGGAGCACCGGAACAAGTATCGACTATTCTACGACTGCGATACAGTGAGCCTAGTGGCCCTGCCCGATCATTTTGGAGTAACAATGCTTCTCCCGACATTCGGTATTGATGCCACTTCTTCCTCAAAAGGTTTGGGAACTGCTGCATGCTCATGATATTTGAACCTTACGCCAGATTCGAACTTCACTTTTCGTTTCACCTACACAGGATGTTCCTTTGGATCAGGGGTTAGTTCCACATCAAGGGTTTTGGTATTTGGACCACATGCATGCAGCCCAGCTGTCAGCAGGCAGCCACTGCCAACATCATGACGGTTAGTAAGGTGCAGCCATGGTAACATGATTGTTCCACTAACACCAGCGCTAGACATGAACCACTGCTAAGATCAGTTCTTCACCAGCGCTAGACATGAGCCACTGCTAAGGTCAGTTCTTCACCAGCGCTAGACATGAGCCACTGCTAAGGTCAGTTCTTCACCAGCGCTAGACATGAGCCACTGCTAAGGTCAGTTTTTGTAAGTAGCTGACATATGTTGCCACACAGCGATTTGAGCCACAATACATATATACATATACATATATATATATATGTACATATATACACATATGTTATATATATGTACATATATATATATATGTAAATATATATATATACATATATAGATATACATATATATATATACATATAGATATATATATATATATATGTGTGGGTATGCGATGATATATATATATATACTTATAGTTATATTTATGTATATATATATAAGAATATGGGTGCCTACATGTAGACCATAGTGGACTATGGTATATATATATATATACATGTGAACATATACATATATGCTTGGTTTGAGATAGAGGATGTATGAACTCTGTTGTCACAACATGCGCGTGCAGTTTGTGGTTTGTCCGCATTTGTGAACCCAGTGCCATTTTTGTTTTCCCCAAACAGAGCGCAGCGATGTCTTTGCGTAGCCGCATTCCTAGCGCAAACGAAAGTGAAACAGGCGCTCTTCCTGGCACCTTACATCAAAAACTGTCACTTTGCAAGACCAAATCTCCGAAGTGTCCAGCTGGCAAGAAAGAATGTGGAAGCGCAGTTCTTCTTCAAAAAATATGTCACAGCCCGGCACTTTAAGTACCTTGGAGCGATATACCCACCTCATAATTTCATGGACTGATTCGTCATCAGAATCATCCAACGCTTTCCACTCAGAAGTCTCGGGGTTGGAAAACTCATATTTGCTAGCTGGTAGGCATCCACCATCCCACTCATCAACGCCTAGGCATGCATTTTTTTTCAGTTATCAGTTTGGGCATGTGTATCAATTTTTTGCAGTAACATAATGAATCGAGGTGCCCAGCCAAAAAAGCGTAGCCATTTGTTGTTTGCGGCGCAGGATTTGTTTGGCTTGCTGCTGTGCCAAAAACTGCATTGAATCATTGCCAAAAACTGCATTAATTTCATAACACTTCAACACCATGTAGTTCATCCTCATTTTTACCAATCAGTGAAAGCGTGTGAACACATTTTTTAAACGCGATGCCTCCTGATTTCTTAACCGGTGACATTTTGTCATTTTAAGCAGCTGCAAGTCATTGCTGACATTTTGTCAAAACTCTGAATCTTCAGATCCATTTCCATACCGCAAAAAATGCAGTCACCCCCCGTGTGCCAACGCATCAAAACTAGCCAAACTCTCAGAAGCTTGTAGGTTGACCTGTCAGGGTTGAAAGTTGAAGGGTTGACAGAAGGAATGATGGTGTGATGTTGAGCAACATTAGCTAACCGCTTTTCTGTGCAGAGATTTTGGGAAACTCTGAGGGAATAACAACTGTCGTTGGGTGAACATATATATATATAGATATATAAACATACTCATACACATAGATATTTACTATACTGTGAATAATACCCCTTTTTTGGAAACACCCACATACATATAGTAAATAATATATATATATAATATGTTTTTTTTTGAGAATGTGTGAGTTTACAATGTAAACTCAACTGCAAATAGTATATTATGTATATATTGAAGAGCCTCAGCTTTCAGTTTCCGGATCATGTTCTCCATCTTCTTCTTCGCCCGCTTCGGCGCCATCAGCAGCTGCATCAAGAGCGGCGTCATCGACAGCATCTTCTCCATTTTTGAGATAGGACTCGATCATGGCGTCCTGAAAGCATTGTAGGATGAAATCACGGTTATAACATCAAAAACCATCGAGACATTCCACTGGTTTAAAGATCAAAAATTGAGACTTTGAACTGTTTGAATTGAAAACATGTGGGGCTCAATGTGAATTACAAGGTCAAGCCACGGCCAAGTCTTGACCTTTCTTGACATCGCCATCAGTGCGCAGCAACTCTTCTTTCACTGCATCCTGGGCAACACATGTGAAGATAAGTATAAGGTTGGTTTGAGATATTTTGGAATTGCGAGTTTTTTTGAGATGTTTGATTAAACATATAGGGACTTGCAAGTTTTTTTATCCACCACCCATTCTAACCAGAGCCATGTGTCCGCGATGGTCTCCATGACATCATCGTTCAGGCCCTCCACCGGCTTCACCTGGGATGTCACGGGATAGGTGATGGGAGTATATCAATACAATATGTCATTGGGAGCCAGGTTATATATATTTAACTTGAATCACATATATACATATATACATAATATATATATATAACTTGAATCACATATGTAGATATATATATATATACAACTTGAATCACATATACATAATATATATATATATATATATACAACTTGAATCACATATATACATATATACATAATATAATTATATATATATAACTTGACTTAACTTGAATCACATATATATATATAACCTGAATCATTGAGAGGCAACACTGTTTGACATAATCTTGATTGGTTTTGACAAGACACACCCATCACTTCTTTGCCGTTGACTTTGAATGCCCATTTGCCGGTCTTGTAGCGGTACTTGTACACCTTCTTATCCTTCTTTGGAACCTTTGTGTCTGAGCTGGGAGCAGAAGACGCAGCGGGTCGCTTCAAACATCGAGCATTGGAAGCTGGTTTCTTTTTTGGAATCACTTCTTCTTCTTCTTCTTCTTCCGGTGTTTCGTTCACATTGGCCTCATCACTTTTATAGTCCTTTGCCTTTTCCTCTGACTTGGCCTTTGCCTTTGCTTTGGCTTTTCCACTGGCTGTTTTTGACTGTGCCTTTGAACCCGTGCCTTTTGATTTAGCTTTTGGACCGGGCTTGGCACCCGATTTGGCTTTTGGCTGCGCGCTAGTGTTGGGAGAACCCGCGCTTTGGTTTCGGCGCGGCTCTTCATCGGACAAGGCATCCACAGGTGCTAACACCATGGCTTCAAGAACCAGGTTGTGAAACACGTAGGCCATAGCCCCCCTACGACTTTGACCCTGGAAAACATGCACGATAAAATCCGTTGGTTTAATTTGGTTTATGTCTATGAATGCATGTGTCCACATCAGAAAACTTAAATGGGAACTGCAATGCCCCTTGGAGGGCCAACACATGTGAATGCAAAACAGTCTTGATCTTTTTTGAGCTCGCTGAATCCCCAGATTGTCAAACCATCACAAGAAACGATGATCTTGGGCTCCACTTTCGAAGCACAAAACATGAGTGCACCCACAATTAAAGGTGGCCAGAGACACCCCTTGAAGTAGGGTTTGAAAACAAAATGACATATGAATCATATGAATCGAAGCTATTGTTTGGTGATGTTTGATGGTGATATAATTCCCAGAATTTGAAGCCACCCTTCAAGTCACTCTGAGAATCCTGGGTCCTCCCAGCATCACTTCAGCTTTACAGCCGAAGAGGCAGCAATGGTAAGCTGCCCAAGCAAGAAATACTTTGGCTTCATCGGGGTGAGTGTGCATGGGATGCCCTCGCTGGCCTTCACCTGCCAGGCTGTGGTTGCAGTTCTTACCATTGTCCAGCTGACGCTTGGCAACTTATCGTGGGGAGCGATTGATGGATCCCAATCTTGAACATCAACTTGATAGAAATCAAATATGATTTGATTGTATTTGATTTAGTATATGATGACTTCAATTTGATTGATATAATATCAACATTTGTTCAAACCCTGGGCCTCCCACACCACACTGCAATAATCAGTCCGTGGCAACTGATTGAACTTGTTGCTCCACAAAGCCCCGAAGACTGCTGGGCGCAGATCGAGTTTGCTGTCAGTTGGGGGGATCTCTTTCGCCTTAAATGCGTTGACTTTGTGATCAGCAGCCACAGCGTATCTGAACGTCATAGGCATTTGGGATCCATCTGCGGCGACCTGCCAAGATACATTGTCACCCTTAAACCCGAAATCACAGGTTGATATTATTTGATATTCATATCATGCTAACTACCCAATGGAAGTTTATGTTTAATGAGATTTTATGTGAAACCATATGAGCTAGCCTGGCCTTCATCTTTGGGCGCATGGCGTGATCAGTCATGCGGATCTCTGTGATGCCACGCTTGCGTGTCACTTCGCAGACAGCATCTGCCAGCGTCATGATCGTCTTTTCCGTGGCTGCACTGCTATCCACATAGCAAATGATGGTTTTGTCGTCACTGATGTTCCAGGGTATGCTCCCCGTCAAAGTAGAGCATGAATCTAACAGGGTCAAGCGTTTTGGACAGAGATAACTTCCGATTTGGATTCAACAAAAACAAGTTCTGAACCAGTTTGGAGCCCTTGTCCTGACTGAACCTCTAGGTAGCTACCAGTGTTGAACCCAAAGAGTTCTCCAGGGCCCAAATTGATGGAGTGCGTGTTGCGGTTGACAATCCAGAGGGATCCCAGGGACGTCAATACCAACTTAAGGTTCGGCTCCCGGGCAATGACTGCGGCACCCTCTGGCCTAATCGAACCAGAATGAAACATTACTAAATGATTGGGTAATGTTAGGGAAAGTCTAAAACATTGTGACATCATTTTTAAACCTGAATCTTTTGATCATAGATCTGCAAAGGAACGTGTTGTTGGCATCAAAGTCAGCCGTTGAAACAGGGGTCAAGGGCAACGATTTGCGCCAATTGATTGGAGCTTCATTGTCCCACTGTGGGCTTGCCATGGTCCTGGTTTGGCCACTCCCAGCACCTGAGGAAGCTGGCGGAGCCTGCGTCATCTTGATGGCGTTCTGGACTGATGTCTCTTGGCTGATAGCTTCGTCCAGCTTGGCCAAGGGGTCCTGGTGAGATCCTGCAAACTTTTGGCGCACCATATCTGGAATCCTCAGATGGAATATCCCACAATGGGATGGGTAGCCATGATCATGTTATTACAAAATTTGATTGGACAATTTTGGGGGTAATTTGATTGGCAAACAGCTGCTGTAAACATAATATGTTGGCAAAGTGGCTTCAGCTCAGTGGCATTGACAGCCAAGCATTCCAGGGTTGGTAGCTCCACCAAAAACGGTTCAGTCGCTCGCGAAGCTGGACCTGACCCATCAGCCTTGTCCCACCATTGGTTCAAGGCCCTTCCTGCAATCAAAGTGCTGGCGGTGTCCAACATTTGGGCATCGGAGTCATGGTAGATGGACATGAAGTGGACATCCCACTTTGAAGCACCATCCTCCCCAAGCAAGTAGTCTCGCTGCAGCTCCCATGATGCCTGCGACCATTCAGTGAACCTCAGGGTTGTTGAACTTGTTTCCAGAGCACCACAAAGCCCCTTCAACATTTGATGGGTTGAAATAGCCTATAGTTTGTATTGACTGACGGTTGAAATATCATGAAATATCCTTTACTTACTATAGTTTGGACATGTTTGGACAAAGAACCGCGATGGATGAAGATCCACCACCAAGAGTTTGTGGTTGTCGCCCTCATTCATCCCTTCAACCAGCTGAAGCAGCACCTCTTTGGTGGCATTGATGCCCCTCTGTTGAACCTTACTGATTGTGAATTGGTCCCACCATGACTGGATGTAATTTTGAAACATTTATCATAAAACAAATAGGTTGAAGAAAACATCAAGATCTTTCCAAGAACTCTCCAATGGGGAGCGAGCTGGCGATCTGGGTCCGGGTTCTGTAGATCCGCCACTCGACTTCTTTCGACATTGCTGATTGTTCCCAGCAAGGCTTTCGACCTCATGAAGGACACGTTGCTGTGCCCTCCACAGATGCCAGCCAGGCCTGCAGAGAATGCGGGGAGGTAACGGTGTGGTTTGGAAACATTGTTATGTAACTTGACCTGAAATCAATTGCAAAATAAAAACAAGGTAACTTAGTTTAACTTGGATGCAATCAAGGGACACTGTTGGGACTTCTTCCGGCGGTCTCCTTGGTGTAAGGGATCCTGGAAGTTGAGAGAGATCTCATAGGAATCCATTGCCCTTGGTTGGTTCGGATGGGCTCAAATATGCTCAAATGGTTTGATCTTCTCCCCCCAGACTCCACCAATAGAATTTGAAAATGATGACTTTGAGACTGGGCACTTGATGATTTTGTCCTCAAGTAGGCGCCTGTGTTTCAAAGTTGCTTCTTTGCCAGCATTTCCATGGGGTTGCGGCAAAAGCCAAAAGCTGAGAGTGTTGGGGTTTCCAGTCCCAACGCTTTGGGCCAGAGTGACCGACTCATCCACTGCCAGTGGTCCTGGTGTAGAGTCAATGTTTGAAACATACAGAAAAAGCCAGCTTCAAAAATATTCATCACAGGGGATGGCCACAGAGTGAAATCCCCCACCTCAAATAGTAAAACTTGAAAATAGTAAAACTTGAAAATAGTATCATCACAGGGACTGGAAGGCCACAGAGTGAAATCCCCCACCAGGATCGTGAGCCTAGCTTGGTTCGGTTAAACATGGTATGCTAAATATATGGTGACATGTTATGACATATTTTTCGGGGATTTAAACATATAAATTTAAAATGTGCTGAGAAACGCGTTGGGGCCCATCTTGCCCTGAATCTGCACTATGGCCGCATGCGCCAGCGTCAAAGATTGCACCCTCATGAATTGGTGCTTTTCAGCCATGAATTCATCAATTGCCAGTTTGCCCTTGTGGTACCGATCATTGATGTGCTTGTAATCCAGCGCAGCCTGCCACAGGGGACATGATATTAACATCACATAACATCCCATGACCCAAACATTGTAGATGGGGATTGTTGCAACCAGATTGAACATGATAAATTTGGGTGCTTTGGACATCCAGACCTGCTTGGTGGCATACAGATCAAACTTGTGGCTCCAATCACGCAGTTTTGCCAGATCACTTTGACACTGAAGTTCGGTTTGTTGCCAAGTGGTATGCAACAATTGGGCGGACAACCTGGTTGTAACATGAAAAAACAGTACATCAAAAAAGGGGGAACTATAAAACAAGTGGTTGTCCCATCAACAATGTATGCAGCCTGATTGATTAGTGCTGACAAAGAGCTGCTCTGCCTTCATGTGGGTTTGCTTTTCCACCTGAGGATGCCACATTAAAGTTGGTTTATTATGAACACATGATGGAAAAATGAAATACAAAATGCGGGTGTGCAAAAGAAGGGTTGTCACGTGGACCCCACCTCCTTGTTGTAGCGCACCAATGGCTGGGCAAAAATTGCCACGCGGGTCACATCCGCTGGGGGCACCGTTGACTCCAGGAGCTGCAGGATATCGGCATCTCCATGCCTCATTTCAAACCTCATCAAGGATTGGCAGCGGATGCGGGAAGGGTTCTGGTCTTCTCGGTGTGACTAGTTGGACTATCACCAAACAACAAGTAGAACCATAAAAGCAAATATAAATCTAAATACATAGAGTGTTTTATACAAACATCAAGATACATAACATAATCATAAATCCAAAACCATAAATCATTACTCTACTGGTTCTGACTAGCAACGCCTTGTTGATCTCGGGCAGGGAAGCATCATGAAACTTCTGAGGGACCAGGGTCCGGTAGTGTTCCAAGCATGCCAGGAATCCACCACATACTCGTTGCAGTTGGGTCTTGGAAGTTCAACTGATGATGGTGAAAAAGTATAGAAGTCAACATCCAAGTATAAAAAGCATCATTTACATAATTTGGGGAACCTGCCAAAAAATACCAAAGTCAACTAGGGCTCCAGATCTTTGACGTTCCAAGCCTTCCGCATCTTCGGTGCTGTTGAAATCCAATCCAACTCCATTCGTGAAATCATGGTGGTCAAAAGGCCATGACTGTTCGTCAAATGCAATTTCCATGGCATCAAGAACCCGCTTGCAGTGCAATGGCCGTGGTTGAGTAACCCTTCAGCCAGTCCATCGTGGTTCACGAACTTGGGTTGAGTATGCACCCTCAGGATCGGATGTGAACGGTGATGGGTTATATAAAGCTTCCAGATAGTCCACATTATCCCATATAAATCATGGGGAATATGGGGAAATATTGGGAAATTATGGTTTTGTTCCAAGGGTCCGAACAAGCTCTGTCAGAGCCTCTTTGACGTTCGGGGGG